ATTTAAGCTTTAGAAACATCATTGAAATTGCAGTATGAGAAAGTCCAATAGGAGATTATACCAACAGATGGAGAGAGACAGAGTTGGTGTGAAGTTTATTGAAGGGAATGGAAAAAAGGTTGATTTGCAAATGACTACAAGGGTAGATTTGATGTAACTTGTATTTAATTGAACATAGGGATTACTGAAAAGTGACAAATCAAAGATGACACCTTGGTCTAGACCCCTTATTATTGATGACATTTATTCTTAAGAATAGTATTATAAAGGCTACAGCTTTGTTAACCCAACTGGTAAACACACACACACACACACACACACACACACACACACACACATCCTGAAAAAAGTCCTGCCTTATTTTCTTAAATTTCCATTTATTTAACAGGCCATATCATGTTACATTGAGATGTAATTCCTCTTATTTAAAATAATTAATGTTTGACAGGCTAGGCCCCAGGACACCTCAGACTCTGTTGTGTTTTCAGCAGTTACCTGGGAATTCAAAGGAATGGGTGGGGGGTGCTATTCATTTCTAAGAAGAAGGCTCTAGACTCGAAATCAACAAACTAAATGACTAAAGTATGCTTTTGGCCAGTGCAGTTGTGATGGTTCTGAGAAAAAAAGGAAAGTTGCTATTGCAAATACAGTCATTATTTATCATAGTAGTGTTAGCACCGAGGCTGAATATCTGGGTCAAATCCTGGCTCTGCTATTTTCTTTCCTTCCATGGACAAATAGTTTAACCTCTTTTATACTCAGGCTCCACACCTGTGAACTAGAGATCATTTTATAGGAAGTTTATAGAGATTTAAAAGCATATTTTATAAAAAGTGTTTGGAATTTCATTTAATAAACATTCATGATTATTATATCAAACCATCTAATGCTTTTTTTGGGGGGTGCATGGAAGAGAATACAAAAAATTATAAAATCTTGGAGATTTTCTTAATAAAATTTCTGATGGAAATTATATATATGCAAAAGGACAGTGATGAATAGCAATATAATCTCCATGTTTATATAGACCATAAATATGTCATAAATATTATATACACATGTACATTATATACATACTAGAGGTCCAACATGAAATCTGTGCATGAGAAGGGGAGGGATGTGTGTCCCTCACCCTAGCCTGCACTCTCTCCAATCTGGGACCCCTCAAGAAATGTCCGACTGTCAGGGTAGTCAGACATCCCTCTCAAAATCCAGGACTGCTTGCTCCAAACCACTTGCTTGCCTGATTGCCCCTAACCACTCTGCTGTCAGTCTAACTTCTCCCCTGCCAGCCCAATTGGCCCTAACTGCCCTTCCCTGCTGGCCTGGTCACCCCTAACTGCCCTCCCCTGCAGGCCTAGTCACCCCCAACTGCCCTCCCCTGAAGGCCTGGTTGCCTCCAACTGCCATTCCTTGCAGGCCTGGTCCCTCCCCACTCTACTCCTCTGCTGGCCATCTTGTGGTGGCCATCATGTCTCCATGTGGGGCCAGCTATCTTTGGCCACAAGGGGGAAGCCATATTGTGTGTTGGAGTGATGGTCAATGTGCATATTAACTCTTTATTATATAGGACATGTAAACATATACATATAGGTACAAATAAGTCTAAATTATTTCAATCAAATGCCTAATACTGACAGTATTATAGAAAGATAAGCTTTACCTCTTCAACATAACTCCACAAATATATATCTACCTACACAGGTAGGTAGGTAGATATACCTACCAAGTCTCTGTTCTTAAATATACTCTGTTCATAATGCTTTCTTGGTATTCTAACTGGAAATGTATTCCCTATCTTCTATATAGTGGCAATATCTCTTGGAATGCTAATCTTTTTCTACTCTTATTATAGGTGATATTGTGCTTATTTATCTCCATTTCTATACTGTAGACTAAAATAAGGCCTATATTTTAAAGTGTCTTTTCATAATCTGTATTATCTAGTATAATATTTTATGCATTCTGAAATATTAATAAATATTTTTGAACAGATGAGTAAATGACACATTTTTAGATGGAATAACTAAGTTTCAAAGCAAAAACTTGGTGAAACTGATTTCTGATTGAGATTGACAGCAACCTCAATAACTGCTGTTTTTCTGTCAGGCATTTACTAGTTAACCATGATCTATGGTTGCTAATTACAAATTTCCACTATATTTACCAACTGTATTTGTTTTATGAATATTACAGTTAGATTTTACTTTTAGAATGACACTTTTGAAACAGACATGACTGCTTTCTTCATTATCTTAATTAATTCATGTCCAACTATATATAAAAGCCTAAGTGACCAACCGTCTGATTGTTTGACCATTTTACTAGTAGCTGTGATGAGCAATGACCACCAGGGAGCAGACGCTCAACACAGGAGCTGCTGAGCTGTGGTGACTTGGCAGCTGTGGTTCTCAGGTGATGCACCTGGAACCAGAGAGGAGGGAGCCCGATTCTGGAGTGGGTCACTCAAGAACTGCCCTCTTGCAATCTGGGACCCCTCAGGGGATTTCAGAGAGCCAGTTTCATCCTGATCCCCACAGGCCAGGCTGAGGGACCCCGCTGGTGCTATATAAAAGGGCATCACATTATTATTAATTTTCTTAATTATTAATAACATCATTATTAAATTTCTATTATGATAACTATTTTCATGTGCCTCTATTTCTTTGACATAGGTTAAATCATTAATTTCTTTCTTAGCTTAGTTTGGCCTCAAGTCCTGAAAAGATAAGTATTAATAAAACTTACCAAATTATATTCTTTAATATAAGAGCTTGTTTAACAATATTAGTGGATTTGTAGTAGAATTGAATTCTATTAGATTTCTATTGAATTGAATTCTATTCTATGTGATTTTATTAGATACTTTATAGTTCTCCTATCTCCAAAATTTTGAGATTCGAAATGTAAAGAGCACATGTGAGGTATTTATAGTTTTCTTTTAGATGAAAATACAGTTAATTTATATTTTAGGTCCAAAAAATAGTTTGTTCTTTTTCATGTAAACATTTAATTTTGGCTGGAGAAAGATACTGACACTACTGACACTGGAGACCTTGTGTCCCTGAAATATGGCTAGCAAAGAATTTCCTGGTTCCAAGTCTACCTTTAAATAATTGCCAGGGAGTTCAGAACATTTCTAGGAAGTTCATTGTCTTTCTCTTCTAAGTATTTTATCTGTGACATCTTAATTTCCCAGTGCATCATTTTAGCTGTTTTTATTATTTCAAATTTATGATGGATATGTCAAGAACATAAACCATTTCATCATCATTTATCTTTGTTTCAATATTTTTTTAAAATTTATAATTCTATAAAGAACTGTCCATATACCAAACACTTTTAGAGATCATTAAACAATTAACGTACCCTTGAATTGTGCACATAAAAAAACTAATTTTAATCAATACTGGTAGCAGAAGTCAGAAAGGTTTCTTAAAATAAGATAGCCCCATAAAGTACAGCATATCAGTGTAATATGTAACTTTTATAGAAAAATCTATTTATTGGCTAAGTTCTATGAGTCAGGCACTTTTTCTGTTTGTTTTGTTCTGTTTTTAATTTTTTTATTATTGAAAGTGTTACATTTGTTCCCTTCCACCTTCCCCCCAATGAACGCTTTCTTCCCCTCTTCCCCTTGTATCAATCATGGTGATTGCATCACAACTTCATGTTGAATTCTTTTTACTATATTATTTTTTTCCCCAAGCATGTACACATGCTTTCTTTGCTCCCCAAGATATCATTTACACAAGGCTGCTGAATTTGTTCAAAATTCTTGCCACTAATGACATCAGAAGGGGAGCACTGAATAAAAATAAAAAGCACTGAAACCAAATGATTATGCGGCCCTAATGTTTATTAGCTAAAACCCAACAGTCAGAAGACATCTTCTGTCATGTGCTGCATTTGGCCTCCTTTGAAAGTAGATTACTCATACCCAACTGTACCTAGCTAGATGTAAGGTCTTAGCATCTTTGTCTCAAAGTTCCTAATAGAAACTAAAAACCAACTAGCAAGTTAATATTTTTCTCACCTTTAACAGATATTCTTTAACATCATTTTGATATGCACACAGTTCAACACTTCTTTCATTTGAACTTTACCAGTCAATGTTTTGCTAAGATTTTGCAAAACTAAACACATTTTTAGCAGTGACGAAGGAAAGAAAAAAATGTTCACATTATATTTTATATTAAGAGCAACTTTACTATCTTGCCTTAATATGAAGCATGATGTAAACTGAGGTTTATTTTATTCTAGGTCTTTTTTTTTATGTTACTTCTCTCACATAAAGGTAAGTATATTCAATATTTTGGGAAAGAGAACCACAAAGGCTGAGAGGGGAGAAAACTAAGGTGAGTTTGAAAAATAACAATAGGTGAGTTGAATGAAATAAAGGTTATGTTAAGGAGAACATTGTGAGAATTAATTGCAAAGTTGATTTTGGTCTTATTTCTTATGTGAATAATTTAATACTAAGATGTTTGGACTCAATTCACAATTAATCAGGTACCATGTAACCAACAAAGTGGAAACTTGGGAAGATCAAAGGACCAAAATGTAAAAGTTTCAGTGATCAGTGTAGAAAATGAAGATGCATCAATTGTACCCAAATCACCAACCTAGATCTATAATCTATTAATTCATAACATCCCATATCCCAGTGCATTCATTCTGTTCCCTTGATTCCAAATTTTAAATATTCTGTATATTGTCTAGACACTATTGCAATGTTCTCTCTTTGAATTAATACCTGTTCTGTCTTAGCCCTAGTAGATTGGAGGATTTGGTCCATCATTTGCTCTCCAAGATTTCAAGCTACCCTAATTAATCGCCTTAAATAAGAAATCAAATAATGAATGCAACAATATACTTTAACTTTATTTAAACAAGTGGGTTTACATGTTCACTAATTTATTTTTATTATTATTATTATTTTAAATCTCTGACCACATGCTTTTTTCCTTCCCCCACAGGTTTTCAGGAAGGCAACAAAGATGAGAGCATTTTTCGTTTTTCTGTTACTGCTTTTCAGCAGGGCTTCTGGTTTTCCTCAGAATGATTCTGTGTGTCCTACTGACTCATTAGATGACTTATCCAGTTGCTTTACCTACTTTAACCATAGTCTGAACTGGTCTCAGGCACAGGTATGTATTCATGTTTTCACTTATAATTTTAAGTCCTTCCTCTCATTGCTCTGGTTCTTTCAGACCACTTACTCATAACAGCGCAAATTTTGGAGGCAGAAATGTGCACCATACAAAACATCAGAATTACTTTTCTTTCCTTTCATTTCCCAGGATGTATGCCAACAACATGGGCTCCATCTTATCACCATCCAAAACTTTAGTGAGGTCTCTGCCATTGCTGCTTTGGTAAAAAACTACCAACAGAAGAAAAATATCTGGATTAAATTAGAAGACCATAGTCAGGTATTGTTAAATTATTTTTCTAAAAAAAGGAATATATATATATATATATATATATATATATATATATATATATATATATCTGTAAATTAGTTAGTAGGGCCTGTTAGTCAACACAGACACATATCATCTTGGTCTGGTCTTTTGGTTTTCACATTTCCCAATTTCAAGAGATTGAAAAATTATTAGCTTCCATATTAAATTTCCACTTTAAAAAAGAATTAATAAACACTATTTGTGGAGAGTCTGAATTTCCTTATTCTATAAAACTTGGCATCTTAGTAATCCAGATGTGTCTGTTAGGTTATAGATTTTTTTCTAAGAAAAGTACAATCAATCTACAATGTTTTGTATTTTGTGAGTTTATGGATACTACTTCTGTAAGGAGAATTAGCATCGTCTTTTTAAAATTTGCCAGAAAACCTGCTTTATTTTAAAAGTTAAAGAAAGTTCTATAAAGTGTATTAATCTCTAATCTATTTCTTTTGCTTATGTAACATAATTTATTGCTATATTATATAAATATAATGTAGAATAATACTATTTTTATGATAGTAATATATAAAATTATTGCTATTGTAATATTATAGCCAGAATATTCTTCAGAATACTCAACTTAAGAAATCTAAAGATGAGTAATGGGACATTAAATCTTTATAAACTGTCAATTTTATTATAAATATATTTTGCCATTCTTTTCTCAGGGACTAAGATTTCTATGTTTTTAACTGTTTTTTTGTTTGTTTGTTTGTTTTAGTCAGATGTTCATTCATTAAAAAATAATATATTAGTTGAATCTATCCACATAGTAATTGACATCTATTAGCTATCGATAGTTACTAATTTTTTATTAGCAGAATTATAATTTCTCTCAACTATAAGGTAATATAACCAATAGATCATACCATATCCTAGAAAGGTAAAGTTCCATATCATGTCTTACAAATTCTAAAAGTCCTTGCTCTGTGGTCTATACCACATTTGTATTATAATATAGCCAAGCAATACTCTATGTTTTGGTAACTCTCAACTTGTTAATTAATACCTTTCTTTCTTTCTTTCTTTCTTTCTTTCTTCCTTTCTTTCTTTCTTTCTTTCTTTCTTTCTTTCTTTCTTTCTTTCTTTCTTTCTTTCTTTCACTGGGGATTCATCATTTTATTTTAGAATATCCAGTGGAAAATTATTCACCAACCTGGAAATGGACATAACCCACTGAAGAACCAGGAAGTCATTGTAAAGCAAAATGTCTGTGTAGAACTTATAGCAACAGAAGGTGAGAGCATGTGATAACCTAAAATTAACAAAAAGAAATCTTCCTAATTATTTGGACATTTTTTTTTCTCAAAATTTCCACGGAGATATAATTGATAAGTCAAAAAAGAAAGGTTTCTTTACCAAATGTGTTTTGGAAATACTATATTTTATAAACTTTATCTTCAAAATTTGTAAGACAGAATAGTGAATTAAAAGCTCTGAAAACTATTGAATTTAAGATAGAAAGCTTTGAACAACACCAACTATATTTGGTCTTCAAACAATACCAAATATATTTAATCATAGATTTTTTTCACCCTTACTTGGTAACATTTTGTACGGTAGTATTTGATTTGCAAAATGCAGATTCAGATTTACCAATTGAGTATTGCAGAGAAAAATGTAAATAACTTCCTCAAGATTTTTGAAAAATCACCAATTGTCACACAGTTTTAATCTATTTTATGCAGAATTCTTAAAGTGGAATAACACTGACTGCAAAGAAAGAAGGCCCTTCCTTTGTCAAACCTTGTAAGTATCTCATTAAACTTTCTTGGAATTTGGAGAAAACCTCACCTTAAACTATTATTCTCATAATTATAAGAATAAGAATGCATTTATTGGTGAAGGCAGTACATAAATACCCTTTTAGTGATTTGTTTTTATAGATTTGAGAAGCCACATTTTATTTTTTTCAAATCAAAGCAGTTCTGAGCATTGTTTCTTAGGAGATTAAAAGCCAAAAGATCAGAAAAACAAGTATACCTTCAGGGCACTTCAAGTTTCAAATTAAATAAGCTAAATATAGTAAAAGTATTCTTGTGTAATATAAGAAGTACTCAAAAAACTAAAATCAGAAAACTTCTTATTATATTTCTATATATATATAAGGAGATATAAGATTTAAAGATTGTGTTTTTGGTAAGTCCGTTGTTATTTACCGCATAAATATAGCTACATAGTGATTGTTTTTTAGTATATATATCTCTTTATTTGTATAATAAGTTTGAGAATATTAAATATTTTAATAGTGTAAATATTTCTATATTTACAGGCCCTATCATTCAGAATTTTTGCTGAATCAGAGTAAAGTCACAAAATTAAGCAAAGTAACTGAAAGTAATGAAAAAAATAAAGACAAAAGGGTAACCAAATATGATTGGGGAAAGAGAGAAAAATACACAAGTAAGGAAGATAAAAATACAAAGGAAACCCTTTCCACAAATGTAAGTTCATGGCACATTTTATTTCTTCTTTTATTCTCCTTTGTATATTTCTTTCAGTCTTTTCTCTAATCGCTCTTTCTAGACTTCATTTTGGAATTATTCTTTCTTATTTCTCTTAATATTGGTACACAAGATAATCAAACCCAAATGGTTTGTGGTCTCCATAAACTTAACTTGCAGCTGATTAAAATGTGGTAAAATTATGAATAAAATTGAAAATCTTGAATCATTACACTTGATAACTTTTTTATGTAAAGTACTTTCATATTTTAAAATATCTTTACATTGTCATATTCACCATATTAGTTTCCAGCTGCCAAGAAATTGACACTTTCTTCAGTTATATTTATTTTTAAAACCCCTTTATGCAAGTGTATTATTGGATGCTATGATACCAATAATATTAATAAACACTTAAGAAATTTATTTCTATGATAATTATCATTCTCCAAGGTAAATTTACTTTAGTCAATAAAAAAGAAATTTGGTATTCTATTCAAATGGTGCCTTCAGCCTAGGATTTTACTATTTCTCTCATAATTTTCCTTTTGTTTATTTTTTTTTCCCAGAATAATTCATCACAGAAAAGCTTGACACCATTTCTGATGGGTTCCCTGGTATTCACCTCGTTCCTTATTTCCTTGTTTCCTAAAATCAAGAGCCCAAAACAAGATCTGCAAACCTAGCTTGCTTAAATAGATTCTCAAACTTAGCTTGCTTGGAAAGAATGCCTGAAGCACTCTAAAATGTCTCAGAACCTTAGTTTCAGAAACTTTAAAGAATGTTTGGTTTTATCCTACTAGTGAGATAATGAGATAGCCTCCCACAGTTTCAGGGATACCAATAGAAGGCAGGAGGCTCCTGAACACAGGACAAAGGACTGATTTACCCACAGCAATCACAGCCCAGTCTCAGCGTTTGCACAGCTTTTACAGGGCTGTGTGAAGGAGACCAGGGGACATCTGCATATGCTCCCAGGAGGTTGTTTTATACTGGAGGAACTCCAAATTCAGGGAACTCAATATTCTTATAATGAGCAGTAAGCGTACCCGATCTTTATCATGGAGAAAGCCATAACCTTTATTATAACTGGGCAGTAAACAAGCCTGTTTTTATTGTGAAGGGAGACAGTATCTCTATCTTTCTAGGTTGTTTGCTATTAGAACACCTTTGAAAATGTAGTACAGAACCAAGACAGCTAGTGTCTCTCTATTTGCAGGACATGCAGGGAAGCAAGAGCTCCTTAGAGGAACTGTCTCTCAAAGGGTGTTCAAATGCTTTTGGAACCATTTCTAAACCAAACATTCTGATTTTTCATTATTTTTAATTAGTCCTTATTTTTAACTTTATATTTTCTCTGCCTGAATAAAATCTGGATTTTAATAGTGGTTAATAAAGATTTTTAGAGGTAGTGGCTTGTTAAGCACATAGCACTCGTTCTCAACCTTCTTCTACAATATGAGGTTTAAAAAGAAGAAAGACAATATAAAGGAATAGTGATGCTTTTCTTTGTTTGCTTTTATTTTTTAAGAGAAGAAAAATAGGTGTATGAAAAAATTATTGTCTTTATATTTGTATTATAAGATTATATTCTACATTACTTTCTCCCCAAATTGTGAATATAACATTAAAATAAACCTTTGTAAACAAGTACTGTGCTTAAAAAAAATTACTGTTTAGTAAGTTTAAGTAACATATACAGTCACAATTTCAATATAAAGTTTTATACATATGATAAGTTGTATATAATTTATAATTTAGATAAAGAATACTCCAAATTATTTGATTTATATCAGATTAAATACTGTGATATAGAAATGTATTTATTATTCCTTTTATGAGTTAAAAAACACTATTCTAATTTATATCATAAAATAGAAACTGTTCAGCTTTTAAATATTCATTATTTCAAAGAACTCTGGGAAACTATAACCTTTCTGATTGAGACAAGGGCATTTTTAGGACTGATATTGAATATACTACAGAAGAGGCATTTATTACAGATGATGGGTGCTTCACTCATCTTGAGTGTCTTATCTTAATGCTATTCAAGATGATACAACAGCTTTAAGACAAATGAAATGTCCTTGACCCCTATCTTTAGTGTTGCCTCAAATAGAGATAATGCTAATTATTTTGACTTTCTGTCTTGTCTTAAAAATTAGTAACTCAGAATTAAATATTAAGAATAAAACAAAGAAAAATAAGTAGATATTAGAAGCAGAAATTTTAAAAATAATGAAGCTAGTTGTGAGAACTGGTTGTGAGGCCAAAAGACACTCTATAACGTCTCTGAGGTTTGGATGCTTAGGATATTTCCCCTGGGATTTTGGAAAAAATAATTTTGCTATAGAAATATAAGTTTTTAAAATCCATTTCAGTGCTGTTCTGTATTACTTTGTATTTACTCGGTGAATAATAAAACATAGGATTATAATAAAACATTTATTTTTAAATTTCAGAGACAATAAATCCTGAAAAAAAGAAAGCATACAAAGAAATTTTGTGAAGTTTGGTGATCTAAATGTTGAAACCTTCTCGAAGGCAAAAGGCAAACGGCATTTTTGAAAACATGCCTATAAAATGAATGAATGACAAAAGAAATATATTTGCAGTAGGCAGTTAGATAGATATGAGCAGAGTCAGGAGGAACATGGGCCAAGTAGAAAAGGTTACCCAGGTGGAAAACTCTCTGTGGCTAAAAGTGGGCAATTGTAGGTGGGACTGTGCTTCTAGGGTAATCTTTCCTCTCCTGGCATGTCACTGGCCATGCAGTTTAGACCCCCTGACTTTTCCTCTCTAGAGATAACATTGAGGCCTCAGTTGTACTTCAGCTCTAGGTCATGAAAAGCAGCAAAACCAGACGAGTGACTGAGATGACTGCCTCAGGACCAACTGCATTGGATAATGACCACTTACCCTGGCACCGACCAATCAGTGGAGACCATGACCCTACAAAGCCACACCTAGAAAGCTGTTGAATCTTCTGTTGGGATCTTCCCCTAAAGTCTTTAGCCATAAAACCACCAGGACAGAGGAGCCAGCACACTATCCCTCCCGGGAGAACACCCTTGCCTCGCCCCACCCCCACCCCCACCCCCGGCGCATCTTCTCTACCTTCCTAATTTCAAAACTTCACAGGCCATACCTTCGCCTCTATAACTTGTTTCCTAAGCCCATTTTTCCCCTATGAGTTACTTATTTTATGCTTTGGTTTTCTTTCTTCCTTTCTTTCTTTCTTTCTTTCTTTCTTTCTTTCTTTCTTTCTTTCTTTCTTTCTTTCTTTCTTTCTTTCTTTCTTTCTTTCTTTCTTCCTTCCTTCCTTCCTTCCTTCCTTCCTTCCTTCCTTCCTTCCTTCCTTCCTTCCTTCCTTCCTTTCTTTTCTTTTCTTTTCTTTTCTTTTTTTAATGATAGTGCATTTTTATTTATTTTAGAGAGGAAAAGAGAGGGAGAGAGAAATATCAATGAGAAATCATTGATTGGCTGCCTCCTGCCTACCCCTCACTGGGGATCAAGCCTGAAACCCAAGCATGTGCTCATGACCAGAATCAAACCCAGGACTCCTAATCCTCAGGCCAAAGCTCCATCCACTGAGCCAAACCGGCTATAGCACCTCTGTGGTTTTCTTTTTTCTTTTCTTTCTTTTAAAAAAAATATATCTTATTGATTTTTTACAGAGAGAAGGAAGAGGGATAGAGTTAGAAACATTGATGAGAGAAACATCGATCAGCTGCCTCCTGCTGGGGATGTACTGCAACCAAGGTACATGTTTTTGACCGGAATTGAACCTGGGACCTTTCAGACTGC